TCCATGCCTTTCCGTGCAATCGCCAACATTTCTGCTTCCAACTTCTGACAATATAAGTGTAAAAATGGCAAAAAATTAAACACGACAAAAGCTTGAGGCTACCTCTGTGTGAAAAAGATAAAGAAGCTTAGAACCCAACAACCCATATAAACCGTACTAAACATACCGTGGTTCCGGAAGGCTGCTTCTTATTTTCTTTCCTTCGTTGAAGCATATCTTTCATGTCGGCTTCTTCGTCCAAAATTTCAATACCTGATATGAACAATATTTGGGCTGACAATTTTCATTGGAGCCAACTTAACCTACCTGGCATAGTGTCTGTCATAGATTGATACCTCGGACTATATTCACCTCGTTCGTATAGTTCCAAAGTAGCTATTTCTAACTGATCGTGAGAAAGCTGCCTAAAAACATTGCCTGGCTCCTCACGTATGGTCCTTGTTATCTTGGCTGTTCGAAACATACCTCCACCGCATTTCCTTTTGCTCATCATCAAGCTCAGGAGCCTCGAGCTCGTCCAGATCAACTTTTTTGTGAAGCTTTTTCTCAAGATCTTCTTCATCATCAGAGAGTGCACGTTTCTAAATCGGGAACAATTTGAAAACAACTTGCAAAATTCGAAGATCAATAAAGAAATCGATCAAATCAAGTATGCCATCATTATCTGACTCACCACTTTTGTCAAGGGACGTCCGTGGGTTTGAGGGTCAAGTTTGCCTACTTCTTTCATCTGCTCCTCTCGAATCTTGGCAAGTTTAATCCGAAGCATTTTCTGATGCAACTCTTTCAAACGGGTCTTTGCAATGTGCACTTTCAAATGAACTGAAAACGAGAAATACCTATGATGTTGTGATGTCATTAGTGAAATCTTATATTATTGATATTATTGATATGCGTGAAAAACCAATCAAGGCAATACTTTCCAACTACACGTTTACCTAAAAAAAAACAAATCTTAAACAGATCGGCTTACGCAAAAGGCCCTCCCAGTAAGAGATGTCTGTGCCGGCTCCACCAGCATTGACTTTGTTGACGATCGTCCTTTCTAATTGGCATAGTTCATCAACACTTTTACCCTGAAAATAAGAAATTGTGAGGGAGTCCTATATGTACAGTATGCATTTCTTGATGAGGACTACGGTAATTTGGCGAGCGACAAACAGAGCTACGCGAAGTAGTATTACGTGAGCATGATCCCAAGTTTCGAAAAGATGCCTGCTTAGTCCAACAACCGATCCCCTACCCCTCCGTCATGAATGTGATTCTAAACGGAAATGCGACATTTCCCCAGAGAAACAACCATCTCTTCCTGACACGTATTAACCGAAGATATCAACGTCGAACCACTCTCAAGGAGTATCGCAAGATCAGTTTCTCACCCATCATGATGGAGAGCGGTGAGCCTCTCGTGTCGAACGATTTCAAGAATAGACCTCACGGAGACACACCAGAAAATAACGAAGGAGTAAGTTTCGAAGTTTCGTGTTGTGAATGATGTCAGTCATAGAAATGAAAGAAAGAAAAGAAATAGAAATGAAACAAATGCTTTCTGTAGCTTTCCATTGGACCAACACCAAGCGCAAAAGAGAAGAAACATGAACTGAACGGACAAGAGTTGCCATACGACGTTATAAATGGAATGCCGATGTTCCAAAAGGACCATGTCATTGGCAAACGCTACCAGGTGCTCCCATTTACATTGACTTTCAGACGAAATACACCGAACTAACAGATCTTACTACAGATTTTTGAACGAATTGGCTGGGACGATCGTGTCGGAGCAACATATTTGGTTACTGCTCCTGACGGCAAAGAACTAGTCTTACGCGTAGGAAACGATCAAATACTAATTCCACAACTTGAAGCATCGTTTTTATGTAAGGTCAGCTCCGTTGGAAAACAAAATAGATAAGGAAAGTAATGGGGTGGATATCACAAGGACTGGTAGTACGAGAGAGATGAGAAGTAAGCAAGACTGGTTCAGATTGAGCAGCAGAACTTATGGCGCTTCTTCTCGCAAGTGCATTCAATCTACCAAGAAGAGAAATTCTACTATTTGGCACTGTACTTCCGCAGCGGACCGACACTTAGCCAATGTTTGAAGTATTGTGGAGGGAAATTCACTCACGGTTCGGGTGGTCGCCTAGCTCTCGACGTACTGCGGGTAGGGTTTAGGCGTTTAATCATATCTCCATGATTCAAGGGAACAGAAAAGAAAAATGTAATCACAACATGAGATGATTTGAGCACAAAGTTCCTCAGTGGCATCAATATTCCAGATTATACGTATAACACACAACCTCGGATACCTCGTTCGTTCACTTAATTTGGAGATGTTTCACTTTGACGCTTGCTCTCGCCATCTCTTCATGGCAGATTTATCGACTGTTCGGAAGGTAAGAAGAAGATTATTTTGTGACCAGTGTTCAAAAAGAATGAAAGAAAAACGACCGGTCATGATCCCAGACACCTAGGAACATAGGAACGTGCACACCGATCTTCAAGAATTTTTAAGAGTAAATGAAGAGTAAAGATCGATATCGGAAGAACTTCCCGATAACAATGAGAGGAATGGGGAAAGCTTAGGAGATTCCACTTTCCCAGACCTATATCGTCCCCAAGTGTAGGAATCAGACGGACCAAAAATGTTTAGCAACCCCTGATTTGAGCGATGCGTAAGCTCCACTGGCTGTATGCCTCTGACAAAAGTGAACGTTTCTTGATTCACGACACCACCGCATAAATAATGCCAAAGACTTCACCCTTTACCATTCGGTCAGCGAAAAATGCTGTTAGCCTCTGAAAGGTGATGCCTAAGTCCCAATTTTTTGCAGGACACATCTAAAAGTAACACTCACAACCATGAACTAGTAATGCCTCATTGGTGTGGTGGCCTTATCTTTGCACCTATGAC